TTTGCACTTGCTAATTTTCTTATGGAGCCTTTGGTAACTAAAATAGTTAGTGTAAATTAAACTTCCCTTGTTTATTAAATCAGGGGAAATTACCGACATGTAACGGACAGTGACTATTTCAAGATGTACAGTAATTTATGTGACACTTCATGCCCAAACTTTCAAAGTTAAGACGTAGTGGTGCACGTGGGGAAGAAAAGGCAACTAGATATTTTCTGTGCTTTGATTATAAATACAAAAAAATTGGGAAAGGAAATGAGTTACATTCCATAGATCCCAAATGAAACTTTGGTCATGGCTTTATGTGGATAGTTCCAGAGGCCCTCTCTCCCAGATATTAAACAACTAGACTCCAAATGTGAATTATTTTCTGCTTGTAGTCCTTTGGTTTTAGTTCTGAAAAAAGTTCATATCAGTTTTTAAAATACATTTACTATACAATCTTCTGCACATTCCATATTATATTTGTATTTGAACATATGAGCATAAGAATGACTTGTTTTCTTATTTCAGGATCTATTGACACTGCGAAAAAATAAAATAAAAAAAAAATAAAAAAAAATACACCCCCTTTTTCCCATTCTGACATTGCTACTTTTTGTGGCAAAACACTTATGTATGAGCTATTTAGGCCTGCAGTCTTTACACTGGCAAACACCCACTGTCTTCATAGGTGTTTTGCTTGGATATGGATTTCATTGCAGACAGACCCATAGTGTCAATTATCAAGACAGTATGGTTCAATGATAAGGGATAGTTTGAGCCAGTCCAAGATTGAGGCCATAAATTAGGGTTGTTTTTGGTTGGTTTTAGTTTACATACCTTTATTTTTCAAATGTATACTTTCTTCATAGAACAGAATACATGGTACTTGTTCTTTTGTGCCAGTTCCATTCCTTTTCACATTTCTCCACTTCCTCTGAAAAATGCATACAACTCAATCTAAAGCAATTAGAAATGTCCTTCAGAAGAGTTGGATTTAAAGGCTGGTGCAAGATTAATGTTGCTTAAGTTAAATAAGAGTCTCATTCTACAAAACCTGGGTAGAATGTAGCGTTCAATATCTTAGTTGTGTGAGTTGGAAGTGGTTCTAGTGAGGATAAAGGCATACATAGTGTGACTCTAATAAGCTGATAAGATAACATATCTAATGAGGCAATAAAATGCCAAAGGTCTAAATATCAGGTCCAATTTTGCAGGCACTGATTTCAGTGGGAGTTTGCTTATGCAAGGATTGCAAGATCTGGTGCAAGCTTATACCAGGGCTGAATTTGAGCTGTTAAATGTAAACAATTGTCCTACAGGATAGATGTGCCATTCCTTGTTTTTCAGGTCACTTTTTTATGTGTGTGAGAACCACATCAGAACATAGCTTTAACTAGAAAGAAAATGGTTTCATTGCTCCCTGAAACATAACTGCTTTAAGAATGATGGTAGAAATTTTACTTAGCAAAGTACTGATGCTTATCTGTCAGCTGATGTGGTTGTGAAACATGTACTGCAGTTTAGTACAAAGGCCCCAATCTTGCAGCACTAAGAGCCCTTAATTCCATTTATTTCAGTGGCAGATGAGGGCATTCTCCATTTTGCAGCATTAAGTCATAAAGAGGCAAAGAAATATTAGCAGAACTGATCTCAAATATATGTATATTTATTAAGAGCATCGTCTCTTGTGGTACACTCCCATTCATTCCACAGAATGCTGACTGTACATAGGGAAAATGTTTCTCTGAGGGTATTATTCTGTAAATTTAGAAGCAGTGCTGCTCTCTCTGACTGCCAGGGTTTGAACAACGTACTAAGAAGCTATGACAAGATTCAGAAATGTTTTCAAAGGCAGGAAGATATGCAAATTCTCTATACTGTCAACCTCATACAGTATAACTTGTTTTCTCCGTGGAAAAAAATGTACTGCTCTCCAGCGTCAACAGACTTGTCAAGGACAGTTTATGAGCAAAAACAAGAGGCCCCAATAAAAGATCACTGTTTAGACTTTGTTTTTCTGATAACAATGAGGAGATAAAAGTAATTACTCTCAGTGTTTTCCCAGTCTCTCTTTCTGTTCATAATAAGACTAGCATATTTATCCAGCTTACCTCACAGTTCACCAGTGAATTTCAAGTTTTTTCTGGTTACAAAATGCTGTGTATAGGTGTAATTTAACATGGTGAAGCACCAGGGTCATGGAAGGCCAGTGGCTAGTTATACCTTCCTCCCCACCAGTGCCTTCCTGCCTAGCTCCAGCTGAGAGTTTGACAAGGGAGAATACCTCCCAACTGTCCCTCGTTATGAAGATGTCACTCATTTTAGACCCAAAGTTACCTACTTTCCATACTTATCTGGTATCCCTTCACTTTACTGCTGAAAATTTACATCAGAAATAAAAATTGTGGGACTGAGGTTATAGCAAGAGTTTACACCAAAAGAGTGACTCTCACCGCTTCCTGCCTGAATACATTTGTGTCACTCATTTTGGGTTTTTATCATACATTTGGGCCTTGGCGGGCTGAGAGAAATGAGAGCCAGTACTGGGAGTGACATTGGCACCCAGCTCATTTTCTGACCCTTAACACCTGCCATAGGCAGCCAGCTGCCCTACATATATTCCTCTTACATAGAGGAGGTGTGACCACCTCAAGAACCAAAGAGAATCTATTCCTCTTCTGACAACCCATCCCTCACCAAAGAGGTGACGCATTGTCAGATGACATTTTTCAGAGCTCCTATTACCATTTTGGCAGCACATCATTTATTTTCATTATCTAAAATAGAAGCATTCCCATTAGTCAAGATTGTTTACTAAAACACTAAAAGATTTTTCTTCACCAAGGGTCCATTTGTTCTGGCTCAGCTATGCTCTGCACAGGAATATGACAGTAGAATAGTGGTGGTGGCGGCAAAATTGGCTTTTCACCAATTTGGCATCTCTCCATGTTCTGAGGGTATCCAGTATCCACCCCAGCCCCAGGCATAAGTTATAGTCTTACACTTACAATCTTACACTTGGCTGTCCATCGTCCCTGGGTACTATTACAACAGGAAAAGAGTAGTCAGCGTTCAGTGGTGTTTTGTTGCCCCACCCACCCCTTTCTCAGCATATCCTTTATGCTGGAGACTGCAAGGAAGATAGGGCATAGAACCGCACAGTGTCCATTTTGGCTCCCCTTTCTGCCAATCCTGCCTGCTAGTGGACAAGGTCTTGAAGGTGGCATCTCATCACACCCTAGAAAACAAAATCTATTTCACCCCCAGTGGTAGTAGCAACAGTATGGGCCGTGCTCAAGGCAGTCTCTGTGACTCAGCCTCTCCTAGCAATGGAAGCATCCTTCAGGAATGCCTTTTGCTGGCCCAATTCTGTAACAGAGGGAATAATCTATCACTCAGTGTGGAGGAAGGTTTTACAGTCAATACATTCTGCATGTAAATATACCACAATTCACATGGTAGAAAGGGAATTCAATAGCAAACTTACTGAACTACTGACAAATATTTATGAAAAGCCATAGGTAATAAAGTAGAAAAAGATAGGGAAAAGCAAATGTACTCTTTGAAAAAAATGGAAAGAAGAGTAATCTTGGCAATTACTTTCCTATAACTCTAACTTCTGTCCCTAGTAAAATAATGAACACTAACTAGTAGAAAAATGTGTAGAAGATGACTAAGTGTGTAGAATATGACAGAATCACAAGGAGCAGCGGCATGGGTTGACTATAGCTGAAGTGTATATTTGTTTTCCTAATGACTTCCATTCTAATGGGCCTTTTTCAGTTTCTCATAACGTTCTCAACCTCTTGCCTTTGAGGATGAAACTTTCCAGATCTGCTTTCTATCTGAAGCTGCTTGGGCCATTGGCATAAACACCAAACCAGTAGTGTAGATGGGACTCTAAATACACTAAAAATTCCCTCAATTATCCATATACAAGGCCTGATTAACAAACTCTTACTCATGCCTACTGACTAGAAAGTATATAATATGGAAAAAATAATTCTTCATTTGAAAGAGGGACTGGATAATCTAATTGAGTTGCTCTCATTGCAAAAGCCTCGGGATAGTATTTTTTGTGTGCTGCATGATGGCCATGTATAAATAGTAATTTGAAAATAACCTGGAGTGCGGGCTCTAGTTCTATGATCCCACAGAGTGGCTGGTAACTGCTGGTCTCCCTCATCAGTTGCGTGCATCCTGCAGTTGGGTTCCTGGCATGTGGTGTAGGAGAGACTCTTGCCAAAGCAGCCTACGTGTGTCAGTTCAGGGCCAAGCAGCACTGCCACGCTGGTCTTTGTATAAGGGCCAGAAGTGGAGGTTGATGGAAGGACAGAGAGGCTGTGTAAGGGGACTAGTCTGGAAGAAGGATTGGTGGTGAAAGGGCAGACAGCCAAAAGTTGCGTGAGGGGAGGCGAAGAGAATGGGGAGCTGGGGAGAGGGAGGGAAGTAAACCTCAGGTAAGAGAGGGGGAGCTAGAGAAGGCCCCCAGGTGAAGAAGAGTGGGAGCTGGGGATGGGGCCAGGCATAAGGCCCAGGGAGAAGGGAGGAAGCTGTGGGAGGGGGAGGAGGCAGGAGTAAAGCTCAGAGACATCGGAGAGGGAGCTGGGGGTTAAGGAAGTAAGGCCCAGGGAGGAGCTGGGGAGGGGAGTAAGCCCCAGATGAAGGGGGGGGAAGCTGGGGAGCGGGCTGGCAGTAAGGCCCAGGGAGAAGCAGGGAGCTGGGGCGGGAGTAAGGCCCAGGGAGATGGGAGAGGGACGTGCGGGACAGGGGAGAAGCCCTGGGCAGGGCAGCTGAAGAGCGGTGAGATCAGCTGGAGCAGAATTCGGAACAGTTCCAAGTGGGGGGAGCGGCGGAGGAGGAAATGGGCGGGAACCTCGAGCGGAGGGTGGAGTGCCGGTAGCCAATGGGCAGCGGGCTTGGGCGGGAGGGCGGTTTGGGCGGGCAGCGATTGGCGACGCGTGGCAGAGGTAGCCAATGGGCGTGTCGCTGGCGGAGCTTGCCCCTAGCGGCGGTGTGACGTGGCTGGGTGCTAGAGAGGTGACAGTTGCCGTGTGCGAAGCCTCCGCCTCTTTCTCTTGGGCTGCGGGCGGAGACACAGCATCGTGCCGGTGAGTGCGGGGCTGGGGGCTCCCGCCGGGAGGCCCCGGCGCAGCGACGTGGCCCAGCCTGCGGGAGGCCGCGCCGCTGCCTTCCCCCGTGCCGGGGGCTGAGCCCGGAGGCCACGCGGATTCGGTGGCCGGTGGCAGTGGCGGCCTGACAGCAGCCCCCACTCCTTCGCGGACGCAGGGGCCTGGCTCTGCCCCGGGGGCCTGGCTCTGCCCCGGCTGGAGCGAGCCCCAGTCCCGGCAGGGGCCGGTAGGGCGGGGCGCTCGCACTGGCTGTGCCGGGCCAGGGCTGCGGTCCGTGCTGCACGCACATCCGGCTCCTCCGGGGCTGGGCGCATGCCACGGAGATGCAGGGGCGAATCTGGGCTTGCCCGGGTACCGCTGTGGTAACTAGTGACCGCCCCGCTCCCAGGGCACGAGCGAGGTGATAGCCTCTGTTGGGCCAGGGCTTGTCAGCTCTTCCCGGGAATCTGTCCCCCATCTAGGGCCACGGGTTAAACCTACTCAAGCGCCCCAGTCCCGTTTCCAGAAGCGATTCGGGCACTTGGGAGCAGGTCTCACTGGAAGCCAGTGGGATGCAGGTTCCTCAGACGCTTAGTGCTCTGAAATCTTTACCGCGGGCCCCCTTCTGCCTTTTTGTTCCCCTTCTTCCTCCATCCTCCTTTCTCTCTTGCTTCCCTGTTTTGCTAAGTTCTTCCTCTGCATATTGTTCCCAGCAGCAAGTCCTAGTTGACATTGTTCCCTGAGCTTCACGCTCCCCTTCTTCTCTAGTCTAACTGCTAAAATCATTATCAGTATTAACTACTGAATTGCTGATCAAGTGTCATCCCTGGGTTTTAGCATTAATATCCCAGTATGATTAATAGGGGGAGGGAAACGTTACCCTTCTGAGTCATTTCATTGTCTCATGCTGTCTGCTGACTCAGAGGGACACCACTGCATCTTACATTTGGAAGACTTTCCTCTTAACAATGAGGGATATAAACTTGATTTCCAAAATGAAAGCCTATATTCTGCATAGTCTGAATCTGTTCTGTGGATCACATAAATACATCAAATGAGCCATGTATTTGACATTTTGGGCTGGTGGAAACTGAACGAAGGGGAGAGCTCAAATGTCATTGAGAGAGACACCACAACCCCCCTACTCCTCCCCAAGGAGATAGGACAGAGGGCCTGCAATCAGTCACCTTCTCCCTTGACTGTGTAACATTAGCCTCCCCTGCTGTTTACATCCTCAATGTCCTGGTTTTATCTTGTCTTTGATAGCTCTTGGCAGAGAGGAGAGGGATGGGACATTTGCCTTCTCACAAATGGTCCACTTATTAGGTCTCTTTAATGATGTATATTCCTGAGCCAGATTCAGATGTGATGTAATTTTTTTTAAAGTTAATCTTGTTTGGAAAAGGTTTAAATAATACATAACCAGCCATAGCTGTTCCTCCTGAAAAGCTTGGGCCTTGTAGCCAGCCAGTCTGATCTGTGTAGTCTGAGTCTTTATAGACTGAAAAGATTTCACTGATTTCCCTGTGTTATATTAACTCTCATGTAAACACATAGACTTACAACTTGGGATGATTTTTTTATGCTTTAGTAAGGGGCAGTAAACAATAGTTCAATTCGTATGTGAGGGCTGCAAGAGAACTCCCTCATGAACATTCTTTGTAACTGGGTGAAGTTCTTTAAATGTTTTCTGCAGTCCGTCTTCCATCCACATCCAGGAACTGCTCTCCGTCCACTTCATCAAATGCTTTTGCCCAATAACTATATTTGATGTGGCCTCAGCATAACTCAGTTTTTCTACCTCCCAGAGCTCTTACCAAGTTCTTGTTTTCTTCTGGTTTACGATACTCATGCAGGGTAGGGCACGGCACAAGTGGTTGTTGGGTTGCTGCCTTCCCATTGTCTGGGTTTCTAAGGAGGATTCTTTAAAAAAAACCCACAACTTTCAAATCCATTTTAGTGTTGCTGATTGACATTTTTCTTCTTTAAAGGAAAGTAAAAGAGGGAACCCAAACTGGTTATCTCTAACTCATAATGTCTAGGGCCCTACTAAATTCACAGTCCATTTTGGTTAATTTCATGGCCAGAGGGTTTTAAAATTGGTCAATTTAATGATTTCAGCTGTTTACATCTGAAATTTCAGGGTTTGTAACCATGGGGGTCCTGACCCAAAATGGGTTGAGGGGGTGTTGCAAAGTAATTGTAGGTGGGTCCCAAGCTTGTCATCCTCACTTCTGTGCTGGCTTTAGAGCTGGTCTCTGAAGGCAGCACCCTCCCAGCTCTGCAGTTAGAGGAGGTTCCCGGAGGTGGAAGTAGGTAGGATCTCCCCCATGCTGCTGGGAGCACCCCAGCCAGGGGCTCCTAGCTGCTAGTCCACACCAGGGACAGATTAAGGTAGGTGCCCCTTGCCAATTTGGGGGCCCCCAGGAAAAATGGGTCGCCTAGCCCTGGAAAAAGCAAGCCCCTACCGGGTCACCCCGAGCCTGGGCTGGAGCCTGGGCTGTAGCCGCAGGGCTGAAGCCTTGAGCCCGGGCAACCTCAAGCCAGGACTGCTCTGAGCCCCAGCTGGAGTGTGTGTGTGTGTATGGGGGGCGGAAGCCCTGAGCCCAAGCTGCCCCAAACTCTGGCTGGAGTGGCAGAGGGGGTGATCATATTTCACAGGGCTGGGCTGATTTCACGGTCTGTGACACGTTTTTCATGACCGTGAATTGGTAGTGCCCTAATAATGCCAAAAAGTAGCTTTCTAACAGCTTAATTTCCCTACTTGTCTTTACTTAAGGCTTGTGCATTCTTGGAAACTTATTGAAATAGCCATTCTGGAAATTTTCCAAATGTAGCTGTGCTCTTAGTAACACTGGCTACGCTACTAGGGAGGTGTGTTGAGGGGCCTGGCTGTCATGGACCAGTCACATTTGAGTAGTTAAACCAGATGTTATTTTGACTGATGCAATTGAGCTGCATTTCAGTCATCTCTTTGCTCTTTCTGTTTGTAAAATCTCTTTATATGATGTGTGTTTTGAAAAGCTAACACAAAAAGCTAATATTTAACAGCAGGAGCAATGGCTGGTAAGATGCCTAGAATTGAGAAATTCCAGATAGTCTCTTATTTGAAAAGAAAAATATTGATTCTTTTTTAAAGAGCTAAACATATAGCATCAGTTTCTTTGAACAATAAAAAATAGGACTTTAGCTTTACTTATAAGTGGGGGTTTGAGAGTTCATGACTGCGGAATTTGCTGCAAAATGCATCCCTTGTTTTAGAATTGTGCAGCAGGATCTAAGCTTATGTTTTTAGCCCTTATGAAAACTTTCGAATATGAACCAGAATGTAAACCAACACTTTTGTTTTTGAGTCTACAGACAGCGGGAAACTCTGAAATGTGACCTGCCTGCATTTTTCCACTATTACTATTAATATCTGTCACTTGATTAGCTTTGACAATGTGCTTTTTCTGCTGTGCAGCACAAAAACCCCCACACTGTCCTTGCCCGAGAGATCTCCCTCGATTTCACTGAGAAATCCAAAGGTGGGGGCTGATTTACTGTTTTTTCTCTCTCCTCTCTTCCCACTGCCCAGTGAAGGGGTAACTGTGAAATCTACTGAGGATGAACATATCAACTGTTTCCCCAAACAATTTAAAAGCTTATTCATCTTTATTGGAGGTAGTGCCAGGTAGTGAGAGAGCTAGTTGATCTGGTGAAGAACAAGGAGTTCAAGCCTCACAGTGTCACCTCTTTCCCTGTTCAACAGGAAATAATAAAACAGATGTATCCCTTTCACAGTGCAAAGACTCAATTTCCTTACATTTTTTACACCATCTTCCACATATCTCCAAATGCCAAAAACCCAAACTGTCCCCTACTCAGCTGCCAAAAGATCCTGTGTTTCCTATGACATCTACTGCAGTGCAGTAGTGTTATGTTAAAGATCAAAAATCTTGGGACAGACCAAAACTGAATTCATTAGCAAAATACAAGAGTGTGTGCTAATTGTTTTATTTTCATGTTCATTAAAAAGAAAAAATCCATAACTTCTCTGAAGCTGCTGCAGAATTTCTAGTCTGCTGCTTTGGAATGGCACAGAAACCAGGGTCCCATGCTCCAGAGTTTAGGTCCAGGTTGAATACATTGAAAGGAGAGTTGCAACTTTTGTTAATTGGATCACTCTTCTGAGTTAGTTAGAACCTTTGTGTTTCAGTTCTTGATCATTGGCAGCTGAGTTAGACCCCAGTGAAATTAATGGGGCAGTTCATACCTTATAACTATTGGCTCTCTGCAAACTCAAGCAGTTTCTGATTGGTAAGATCATGTAAAATAGCAAACGTAATAGGAAAACTGTTTCCCAGCCAGTTTATTATACAATGGAAATTATTTTTTTAAAACTTTAATTGTTCTTAGACTTTAATTCTGATAAAACTTTCGCCCTAATGAAGAAGCTGAAAGCTTCAAATGGAAATCTGTTAAACAAGGTAGGCTCCATTGTGTAACTTTTAAAAAAAATTATTGGCCATTTTATAATTACCTGTAACTTTAACATGAAATGTGACTTTTATACCAGTTTTACTGACCTAAATTAATGCTGAGTTTTTATTCTATCCAGCAATACTATGTAGTATTAGAAGAATCTTGGTTGCCTATAGTTGGAATAGTGTAACTGAAATTTGTAAGTGCTGGTTCTCTTCAACTCATGAGAAAAAGCTTTTAAAAACTAGACTGTTAAACTTTGTTGCAAAATAGAAATCTGAAAGAACTAATTGGATGTTGCCGAGGCACCCATCATAGAATTTAAGTAGGTAAGTTCTTAAACTTCTTTGGCTTGCATAGTGTCTACATACCTTAATTATCCTATGTATTTAATTTCTGTTATTTACAGGAGGCTGTAATTGCGCCTCAGAACTAAATAGTGAGCCCCTATTTTTTCCCCCACATCACATCCTATTTTTTCTCTTAACTGTTCTCTCCCTGGTTGGTGTGTGGAAAAATCTACACAAAGTGAATCTAGGAATATTCAGCTGTACCCTTTGTCAGATGTTTTAAAGAATTTGAATGGAAAAGTAGTACTATGCTACTCTCCTGTTGAAATTATACAATGGTTGTGTTCTCCTCTGAAAATGCAGAGAATCTGTCCACTCCGTAAGCATGGAAAACACAGAAAATGGCCTAGAAACTTCTGTAAAACTGGTTGTATAAGTGAACTCTGCCGTGATATTATCCTTTGATGCTAGCATTACAAGGTTCATGTTCTAACATGGATTAATTGTTCTTTTAGAAAGTTCATTCTGTTTTGCATAAACATCTTCATTATCTGGCACGATGTCACTTTCCACCTATTTAATCTTAACTACAGAAAAAATAATCATGCTATTAAGATGGAAAATTCCATACCCCACAAAACTGTCAAAGGAGTGTGAATGGCTTGCATCTTTAAACAAATTCTGTTTTAGGAGAGGCTTCTTGTGCTCTCAGAGAGTCTTATTTTGCCATTTCATTTTTGTCCTCAAGCTCTAATCTCTTCTTCAGGTTTCCAAGCAACTCTTATCTCTAACTTTTGTGTTTAGGAAATGACTTGAGTTTAGATGGGCTTCTCTATTGCACAATTAGAGACAAGATATCTGAAGTCATGGGTTTACTGGGGAGTTATAAGAATGTAAGACAAACATTCATATCCAGCTGTATCTATTCAATAGTTAATTATTCAAGTAACTGTATCAGAATTTCTGTAGTGAAGTCCTTCCATGAGTCTGCTTTTCATCTTAGCCATTGATTTTTGTCCTCTAAATGAAGCAACGGGTTCCATTTGCACTTCTTAGTGATGTAATTTTTAAAATCTATGTCCTTTATTTACAGACAGACTTCACAGGATGAAAGTACAGGGCAATTTATATGGAAGCACAAATTTCACTTCCAAAACTCAGGCTTGCCTAAACTTTGTGTAGAACTGTTTTGCCCGTCAAACTTGATAGTACTGTCATCTAAGCTTTGGGTCAGAACTGGGCACAAGTTTTGCACACTTCTGGATGGTTTTATTTAATTTCTGATCTTGTGTTAATGTTTTTAAAGTATACAAATTTGCCTCAGCTGCTGAACTATAGAAGTACAAATTATTATTGATTTTATATATAATTGTTTATCATTTATTTATATTGTTTTTTTATTCTCTTACTAAATTCAGTTTATTAATACAATAAAAATACTACTGTAGTTGAAATGGTGCTGATTATTGCTTTTTCATGATCATGAAAATAAAACAATTCATAATTTCTCTGAAACGGCCACAGATTTTCTAGTCAGCTGCTTTGGAATGGTACAGAAATCTGAGTCCCATGCTCCAGGTCCAGGTTGCTGCAGAGTACATTGAAAGAGGAGTTGCAGCTTTTGTGCATAGACAAGAACTTAATTATAGATGTTAACTTTCTATAGACCACGGAAATACAGTAAATGAAAGCAAGAAACTTGTTTTATCAGGTATTTGATGTGGGTACTGCATTCCTTGGTATCTAGTATAAACTTTCTTAGTTGAATTGCAAAAGAGTTGTAAATTCTATAATCCTGGTGGAATAGGCACTTGAATCCCTGAAAGGATTTCCTCCACAAGTAGAGTATGTTAGTTCTAAGTGTCCATTTTCTCTTTTCAGATCTGTAACAATATACCCGAAGTCAAGAATGTTTTCCAAACTAGCCCACTCACAAACCTTTGCTGTTCTGCGTCGTGGTGTTCATGCTTCAGTGAGTGCTTCTACATCAGTTGCAACTAAAAAAAAGATCCAGGGACCTCAATCCTCTGAGGACATATTTGAACGTGAAGCTAAATATGGTGCACACAACTATCATCCCCTACCTGTTGCTCTAGAAAAAGGAAGAGGTACTGTATCTTGATTTGCCTTTATGCCGCACAAGAAAGCATAGTGCTTCAAAACTTTTTAGGGAATGTTCATGATTTTTAAAACTTGAAGATTGGCACATAATTTGGTTGTATCTGAGACAGGTAATGAAACCTAGGGTTTGTCTACACAAACAAACACTTAGTTTGCAGCAAGCTGGGGTGTAAATCTACCAAGCACTAGCCTGCCATGCACTAATTGTACGTGTGTTCCCTGCCATTGCACCCTAAAATGGGGATAGATTGTACCATACTATGGAATTCTTAGTGTGTACAGCAGGATCCACATGGACACTTAGTGCACCGAAGGTTAGTGCGGGTTAGATTTATACCCCAGCTTGCCGCAAACTAAGTGTTGTGTAGACAAACCCTCTGGTGCTAATGAGGGATTGTGCAACTAATGACTTCTAATAAAACTACTATTTGATTTGACTCAAGCTGAGGATCTAAACCTTGACTGGCCAAAAAGTTTTACATGTGCTTGCTTATTTCAGTCTCCATTATAATTGCTTAATATCTAGACTGAGTCTTGCTATGAAATCTAAACCAACTGACAATGGCAGTTGGTTTGGCACTGCAAAGCTGGTGTTTATGGTGGGATTTTCAGAAGCATTTAACTGATTTAGGAGAAAAGTCCCATTGACTGTGTGAGGTTTGTGCTCCATTCACTTAAATGCTTTTGAAAAATCACATCCTTCAGTCTTTTTTTTAAAGCCTTCATTGGAAGAATTCCTCATCTTTAGTTAAGTTAGAATGTAACTTATTTGAAAGACTCATTTATTCTTGTCACATAAGGAGTTTCTTTTGCTGAAGATGAGCTTGTTTCCTTACATCTGTTTCCTGAACTTTAAACAGTTTTCCTACTCCTTTCTCTAGCAAAAATATGTAATGGTATATGAGACACCCTGGCACCCCCTTATTCTCCACTGTCATATAATTAGGATATGTTTTGTACAAAGTGTGCCTTGTGAGGTATCATTCTAAAAGTCTTGATCTGCTAGACATTAATATCTCTTTGGATTGTATGTGCTATCATCATATATGAAGTTAGGCTATGTATGTCTTACTGAAACATGTTGTGAGATTAAAAACACCCATAAGCAGCCTTTCAGGTACAACAGTAAAAAGGTCAAACAATGTTAATGGCTAATTGAGGAAATGCACACAAACACAAGGATTACCCCAGGAACTGAGTACAATAGAAACTTCTCAGATGTAGCACTACACAATGGGGACTATTTGACCCAGGTCACAGCAAAAGATCTTTCCAGCAATTGGGAAGAAGATAGAAAAGGGGGAAATGACATCATGATGTTTCCTCGCTTTCCCTACAACTACAACAATACACCTGGAAACACCTGAGGAACAAAGACTGAACTGGGGGAAGTGATGGTCTCAGGCTAAAGGGATTTCTAGCCTGTGTATGAAAACCTGGGAAACCCAAGCTGCAAAGCAAAGGCAGCTTGTGTCTTAAGAATCTGCCAGCCTGTTTATCACTCAGGTTGAGAATTTGCTGATTTATATCCTACCTATCTAGTATGTTAAGCTCAGTTTGCCATTTTTGTTTATTTATTAGGTAATCTGCTTTGATCTGTTGCTATCACTTAATCTATTTTTTTTGTAGTTAATAAACTTATTTTATGTTTTAATCCAAACCAGTGTGCGTTTGACTAAGGTGTCTGGAGAAAATCTCAGCTTGGTTATCACAAGTATGCATGGTCCTTTTTATATTGAGGGAGAGGCGGACTGGGTATTAAACCCATATACTAGCCAGATTTGACCAGGGCAGGACGGTACTGCTCTGGGGTTCTATGCTGGGAGGCTGGTGGTTAGAGAGCCTGCACGTAACTGCAGCTGGGTGTGTCCCTACCTGTGTGCATGCTGGTGAAAGTGAAAGCTTGGAGGGCTTTGCAGCTTGTCACAGCAGCAGAGTGTGTGGGGGAGCCCAGACTGGTGGATCAGAGGGCTCAGTGGTACTCCAGTTCCAGGTGACGCCCCGGGGGGAACCCGTCACAGTGGTGTAGTTGGCCAGATCATTTGCGCAGCTTGTTGCTCTTGAGTGAGAGTTGCACTTCATACACTGGTGGTGATTTTTAAGTGTGGTGGCTAGAGATCAGTCAAAGAGGTTACCAGTTTGTTATTTTCTGGTTTTGGCATGGGAAATAGGGACAGAAAAGCAGCAAAATGAGTGGAAATGAAACTAGTAAGAGGTTGGAACTGTGCAAGTTGCAGGCAGAAGAGAGAAAAAGAACACAAAAGACTCTTGGAATTAAAACAATGACAGATAAAAGAAATGGAAGCAGGAACGTCGGACAAGAAGCTGCACACCGAAGAGCCATGAAAGCAGAGGAGGCTAAGCAAAAAGCTGCACACCAGATAGAGGCTGACAAAGAAATGGAGATCCAGAAGTTAGCCATGGAGGAAAAAGAAAGAGAGGAGCACCAACTGGACTTGATAGAGAAGCAGAACCAGAACACCCATGCTCTAGTGAGTCCCACCTCTCAAAACAATCCACAAATGGGAACAGTTGTGTCCTGCATATAGCGAGACGGGACATTGCTGAATATTTCTTCACCTTTGAGAGGCTGTGTGTACTTCACCAGATTCCTGAGGACCAAAAGATGCCCACCTTGATTGCAGAGTTGACGGGTAAAGCTATTCAATAAGATGCCAATTAGAGATGCTTCAGATTATGGTCAATTCAAGGAAATGGTTTTGAAACCGTTTCAGATTACACCTGAAACAGAGTAAAATTTTGAAGCCTTAAGAGGGGTGCTGGGATGAGTAATGTGGCATATGTAAACCACATGAAAGATTTGATGGAAAAGTGGGTAAGGGGAAAAAGGTGTTACAAGCTTTGAAGGAATGCGTGACCTTGTTGCTCCTGAGTATATGTAAAGATGATGTAAAGCAGTGTTTGTGGGACAAAAAAAGGGAAAAGGGTGGAAGAACTGGCTACTCTAGCTGATCATTTGAGCAAATTCAAGCATCTATTGCAAACAAACCACAGACAGGGGTTTAAACCTGGCAGGAAGCAGGGTTCCCATTTTACTCCTGGGAAGAAGGAGGGTGGATCGGAGGCTGGACACTTACCTCTCCAAATCCATTCCTCTAGTCTTTGTCCCAAATCTCCTGTAAAAACAGAGGAGCCCAGAAGGTGCTACCAGTGTAATTCCAGTTAGCACCTGAGGAATAAATGTCCTGTACTGGGAAAGAACAGGCAGCTAGATATTCATGGAAATGCTGCTACCCTGAGCACAGAGGCACCACAGGCAATGGCTACTCATCATACAGGGTTTTTAAAAGTAGCCTCTGCCCAGCCGGGCATGAAGCACAAAGCCTGTCAGGATTAATGGCAAGGAATACCTTGGGTGGGAAGAGACAGGGTCAGAAATTTCTGTGGTTAGAAGGAATGTTGTACAGAAAAGTGACTTACTGCCAGGACAGATGGCAGAGCTTTTATTAGTGGGAAGTTACAAAATCCTCGTGCCTTTGGCTAAAGTGCACAACGAAACTGAAGATTTGGGAGCTATATTGTTTGTGGCAGTGGTAAATGATAACCCAATTGCTTTGTTACTGGGGGAATGATTTCTTCCGTGTAGCTCGGGCTGTCAAGGAGAAATTTTATGCTGGAACCCCAGAGGGAAAGGGTGAAGTCCCAGGAACTGCTGGGGGAATGTCTCTTTAATCTCTCTACAGCAGTGGGAAACAGTATGCTTCCAGGGGTGGGTGTGGTTGAGGCCAGCTCCTGCCCAGTAGCTAATGGCAGCATCTTCTGGGGGGGCGGAGGAGGGGAGTGTGTTGCCTGTCAGTGAGGAAACTGTCCAGGTTGCTTACTGCCTGCAGGTTGCAGATAAGCAAGGGACAGACCTTGCTCTAGGGTGCATAGGGAGATGTGTCCTAGAGGGACGCCCAGAGGTGGGTGATGGAATCGTAGAAACCACTGTGGTGCGTGAGGGTTCCATTGACTCTGTAGCTGGAGGCAAACCCAACTCAGGAAGAGAGGGGTGTGTAGTGCCTGCCAGTGAAAGAACTATTCAGGCTGTTATCTGTGAGCTCTTTACAGCTGAACAGGGGATAGATCCCACTCTAGAGTGCAGAGGTGTGTGCCTTAGAAGGGGGCCCAGAGGAGGAAGCTGAAAAAGAATTAGTAGGGGTACAAGAATGTCTCCTCACTGATTACATGGGTGTGGGGGGGTTGCCTAGGACAGAAACGCTAGGTCAGCTTCTGTACAGTCAGGCACCCAACCAGTGGCTCAGGTTTTAAGAGGGAATCATAGAATATCAGGGTTGGAAGGGACCTCAGGAGGTCATCTAGTCCAACCCCCTGCTCAAAGCAGGACCAATTCCCAACTAAATCATCCCAGCCAGGGCTTTGTCAAGCCGGGCCTTAAAAACCTCCAAGGAAGGAGACTCCACCACCTCCCTAGGTAACGCATTCCAGTGCTTCACCACCCTCCTAGTGAAATAGTGTTTCCTAATATCCAATCTAGACCTCCCCCACTGCAACTTGAGACCATTGCTCCTTGTTCTGTCATCTGCCACCACTGAGAACAGCTGAGCTCCATCCTCTTTGGAACCCCCCCTCAGGTAGTTGAAAGCAGCTATCAAATCCGCCCTCATTCTTCTCTTCTGGAGACTAAACAATCCCAGTTCCCTCAGCCTCTCCTCATAAGCCATGTGCTCCAGCCCCCTAATCATTTTTGTTGCCCTCTGCTGGACTCTTTCCAATTTTTCCACATCCTTCTTGTAGTGTGGGGCCCAAAACTGGACACAGTACTCCAGATGAGGCCTCACCAATGTCGAATAAACAGTGTAGATTTCTCCGCCGAGAAAGGGGAGGAGGGAGCAATTTCCCAGTTGGGTAAGATACAGCGAGCAGCTAAGGAAAAGCTGCTGGAAGATCACAGCCCTTTAGTCTGTCCCAGTGCTGGGAGTGAAAAATCATCAGAAAACCCTAGGGTGGGGGTGGATTTGTAATATCTTAGAATACCTCTGGCTAATCACAGATCATCATAACTGTTGTATGGACACGAGTCTCTTTTCTCTTACCATGAGTGCTTTAAGTGTATAATATTGAAACACAGTATGGTACTGAATAAGGAAACTATACAAACCAACTCCAGTAAATAAAGTCACTGTACTTAAACACCATAGAGAAATAGAATGAATATTGTCAGCTCACTTGTAATTTAAAACAAACAAAAAAAATCAATAACCTCTTATACATACCCTTGGTTGATCAAGTGTCTACTTGGCACATATGATGACAGAATCACTCAGCTGTTCTCTATGGTTCTCATAATTCTTAAAAGGGTTTGAAACGGTTCTGTGTCAAAGATATGTATGTAGAAACAACAGAATCAATTTGTGTTTGAAAGGGGGATGCTTTTAATTGGGTTGTGGTGTGTTTAAGAGCAAAAACTGCTGGGAAGATGTTGCATGGACATTTTTCTTCACCTTTAAGAAACAGAACTTGCAGCAACTTCTTACCTTCAGTTATCTTATCAATGCACACAGTTTCAATTTAACAGTGAATATGATGAAGCATGTTAGATCCATATGATGGTGTTTGTATACTGGTCCCATTTGTGAAATCAACTGCACTATTATTTTAAAGTTGCCCATCTCTTTAAACCTTGTTTCAAGGTCTTCCTACATTGATTTCTCTAGTTCACAGGTTCAAAAGTATAATTTCTCCACCTTATTTAACTGTTGTTCCACTAAGTTGATGTGGTGGTCAGTTTGCTTACCCATGCCTAACAAATTTTGATAGGTCACTTGAAAGCTGTCAGCCTCCAGTTCTTAGTGGAAAAATTGCAGGATCCCATTATCAAGAATATCACTATTCTTATACTTAACTTCTCTTCCAGGGTTAATCCTCTCTATCGTTCCAGGACTCCAACATGGGGGAATGAGGGATATGAGTAGAAATGAGTACTCATGTGATCCCATCTAGCTTCATGGAGCAACAGCTCCACTATGGAAGTGCTTCTGCACTTGAGTGCTGGTTATGTGCTGCAATAGTCTGACACCCATTATGTGGCCTGTGAAGATATTGACTCCCAGTCAAGGTGCTTGTATGGCTGACCCTCCCTCCCCCATGCATTCACATTTTAAGGAATTGCCAGAATACCATATATACCAGACCCCAGGTCATTGTGTTTTATAACTGTAGTTGTACTGTTATTGTTTACCTATGGCCTCATTTTTCTCATGTACTCATCTAACCTAAACTTTTCTAGGTATTTATATGTGGGATGTAGAAGGCAGAAAATATTTTGATTTCTTGAGTGCTTACAGTGCTGTGAATCAAGGTCACTGTCATCCAAAGATTGTGGAATCTCTGAAATCTCAAGCTGAGAAACTGACCCTTACCTCTAGGGCATTCTACAATGATATACTTGGTGAATATGAAGAGTATATCACCAAAATGTTCAACTACAGCAAAGTTCTTCCAATGAACACAGGTAAAGTACTCTCCTCCCGTCTCTGTTTTACCCCTTACAAGTATGAGAGTTACTCTTGTAAAGGACCAAAAATTACAAGTGGCCAAATTGCACATATGTGGCTCTTTATTTTAGGTGTGGAAGCTGGAGAAACTGCCTGTAAACTGGCTCGCAAATGGGCATATACCGTGAAGGGAATTCCAAAATACAAAGCGAAGATTATTTTTGCAGGTATGTGAAATTAACATCATAAGAGCTTGTTCTTCAGGGGAGAAGAGAAGATTCTCCATCATAGTAGAACCCCAAGCATAGGCTAAAACACTATAGTCTTCTAGGGTATGATGATTATTTCACGGTATTTTTAATGTCCCAATCTCTCTCTTTCACTAAATTGGGTTTTAATGGCGGCCTTTACCCCTGGCAGCTCAGTGCAGTGCTGCTGTTATGTCTCTGCCTCAGATTTCCCAAATGAAGATTTTAATAAATCCACTGAAGCTTGTATATTGGACAGCACCCTTCAGGGGTCTGCCCCAAAGGCAGAACGTTACATGAATAGGCCTCCCCCTCAGCATCTCTAGCTGGAGGGAGGAGGGGCTAAATCAACCGTAGTCTGTCCATCCCAGTTATGTTCAAGGTCCCTTACCTGCAAGGCCTTCGTCACCCAGAACCCTCTTCCGGAGTCAGGGACTTCTTGGTGCTAGCTGGGAAGGGTCTCTCTTCTTGGGTCAAGGTTCCCCACAGCAACTGAACCTCAAAGACAGAATATAATTCCTTTAAACTAGGGCTTCTGCTGTTGGCTGGTGAAGTGGTTCATGGGAGCCAGCTTTCTCTGAGATCTAACATTCATAGTCCTTTTCTTCTGGAAATTCTTCCATCCAGGAGCATTATCTCATTGCTGGTGAGCCCCTCTCACCTTTTCCCCCCCCCCCCCCCAAGAAGCTTTCTCCATAGGAGCTTTCTCTTCCTGCACTCTGGGAACTGTTCCTCTCCTAGGATCCTCTGTTCTCCTAGCTCCCTGCAGTGGGGTAGATTTCCTTTTATCATGCCTAGGTGCTTCCCTCCTAATTAACTGCCTCCCAGTTACTCAATGAGTCAATAAGTCCCAAGTGAACCTGAGTTGCCTCATTCCCCCTTATAAAAACAATGAGGAGTTTGGTGGCACCTTAAAGACTAACAGATTTATTTGGGCATAAGCTTTCTTGGGTAAAAAACCCACTTCTTCCGATGCATGGAGTGAAAATTACAGATACAGGCATAAATATATATTGGCACATGAAGAGAAGGGAGTTACCTTACAAGTGGAGAACCAATGTTGAAGGCCAATTTAGTCAGGGTGGATGTTGTCCACTCCCAACCAGACTCCTTGTTGTTTTTGTGGATACAGACTAACACGGCTACCCCTCTGATACTTATTCCTCCTTATGACATCTGTCAGAGGTAGGCTGCGCTCTTGACCCCTTCAGAGGGCCAGCTACCCTCTGACATGGGTCAGTTGTAGGTTGTTGTGACATAGATTTAAGATATTAAAGCTAAATCTATCTCGGATCCCAACTGATTATCAGGAATTTTTAAAAGATTCACGTAATATAGATAACATATATTGTCTTAATAGAAGTACTTTTTAAAAGCCGAAGTTGAAAATTAATTCTTCCTTGCCATCCATTCAGAGTTCAGGATACGGTTTTCTTGGCAAAAGTTGATACTGCATGTATCAACAAGACAATGAATATAGTTCCCTGTTTTGTTATTAGGTGCTTGTGATGTGATGTGATGTCATCTGTTGCAGGGGCAAAAGAACTATGAACTCAGGTCCTGGAAGGTAGAAAGTCTTCAGTTTTTTTCTTTCCACATTATGGAAGATACATTTCAGTGTATGTCTATAATAAATTGAAAGCTTTTTTTTTTTTTAAACCTTTTAAATTACTTTTCTAAAATCAGTTGCGTGGTTGGTAGCAGTTTTCACTGGGAAGCAGTCAGCCTCTTATGAGGCTACATCACAGCCCCTGGATACCACTGCTGCTGTGTTAAAGCGCAAACCATATTTGCTGCCCTCACCCTGTCCAAAGCCTACCTATCACCGTCATGCAGCTCCCAGCAAGTTAGAGGTTTCTGAAATGGCTGCTAAACCCAGAGTTCTGTATGGCAGCATAGTAATCTCAGCAGCTGGGATGATCCCACTTCTATATAAGGCTTTCATACCAGATGTGGCAGGAGTTACCATTTCTGCGATAAAGCTGCATTGTAATCTTGATTATGTAGTGAATATAACAGGAACCTTGAGTTAATACTGGGAGCTGAAATTTCCTGATGTTACCTTATAATGCATAGTGCATTCTATAAGCAGAACAGGGACAAGTTACTTGTGATTGAGAAAAGTGCATACGTAGCTTAAAAAAATCTCATTTCTGTATAGCTATAATTACTGAACTTTGGCTCCCTTTGGTCACAGAACGCTGTTTTAAAACACTATTAAAATGTCAGGTAGTGATTTTGTTAGATATTTATCTTTTATCTTTTTGTTTTTAAAACTGATTTCTACTACTGCAGCTGTTAAGACTACTTCTGGCACTTGGCGCACATAGTGCTTAAACCATAAACCTTTGAATCATTAGTAGAGATGGGTGAAATTTTTTGCACAGCTTTTTTTGATGAAAAATGCAGATTCAGCGGCACAAACATTTTGCAAGGTTATGTCAATGTCATCAAATTATTTCAGTTGAAAAAAACCTTAAAAAATCCAGTACAAATCAAAACCTTTTGTTCTGACATTTTGTAAACAACTTTCAATTTCAGAATGTCCTTTAATTTTACCCCCCCCCTCCCAAAAAAAATCAATCCAAATGCTTGAAATCTAAACAAAACATTTTATTTTGGTTGAAGGAAACATTTTATTTGACCCAAAACAAACATTTTTTTTATTTTTTCAGAATTGCCAGTGAACCGAAAAATCTATTATTTGCCCAGCTCTAATCAGTAGTTATGCTTTTGTAGCCTAATTGAATGCAAGTAAGTTTATAAATGCTGTTTAAAGTCTGGAGTTGAGTAATATATTGTCCTCTGAAGAGGCAAATTCCAGAGGGCGTGGAAGTTGTAAACAATTGATTTTTTTTCATATATTTTTAACATACAGTATTTAAATAGTGCAGTTTAACAAGTACTTTCCCATCATAAGGGACATATTCTACATATATGGTTCCCCATCACCATAATATCTCAGCACCTGCAAATTATCTAAAATAGAAATAATCCCTCTCTTTGTGAGAGGTGTGGTTTGTGGAGGGATTGTAGAGGCAATGTCCAGCTAGGTAGGGCCAGTCCTGTTGAGGGTTTTTAATAGCATGGCAGACTACTTAAGGTGGATTTTGTACTGAATAGGGGACCTGAGAGCAGAGTACTAGGGCGATGTGATGTTAAGTAGACAAATTGTGGCATGTTGTACCAATTCAAACTTCTTTTGTTGTGTGGTGCTTTGATCCTAGATGAGTGTGTTGTAGTAACCAAAGTTACAGATCATGTATGTGTGGCTCACTGTAGTAACATGGCTGTTGTAACAATCCAGGGGATCTTCAGCAGTTGGGTATTGCTGCAGGGCTGGGGTGGTTCTGGCCATACCCCTTATGTTGGGGACCAGAAGGAAGGCTGTCTAGAGCTGGCTTTATGAGCTCTACAGCACCTGGGGATTTCCCCCATGATCCTCAGCTGGCTAGAGCTGCTGATTTTTATGGCCCCTTTGCACCAGCAAATTGGCACAAAGAGTGGATTAATTTTTGTCACTGATTTTTTTTTTTTTTTTAAATTATGATTTAAATCAGCAAGGAGGAAACCTTGATTTAAATAATCTATTTTAATCTTGTTTTGCATTTGTACTTTCTATTTATTTTCATAAAGAAAGGTTCAATCTCATTTGTTGGTATAACTATTAAAACATGTTGATTTGCAACCAGATATACTCTTCGTAGTAGATTTGGTACTACTTTTTGCTAACCAGAAGGATATGTTATATCTATACACTTTTTTGAGCAATTATATATTTTAACATACATTCTGATTATTAATTTTTACAAGCAGGGGCTACATTAGAAAATTGTGAATGAAACACTTCTTATTTACAAGGTGATTTTTTTTTCAACGCAGGACTTGTCAAGCTGCATTGGACAGAAATTAGAATTCAACTAATGTAGAACACCAGCATTTTTTAAATTAGTTAAATAAAACTACCTAAATGTGCTGGGTACATAGGAAAAATAGGCTTATAAAAACATTTTTATTAAACAAAAGAAGCATTATGCGTAGTTAGTGAATTGACAGATTGTCTCTGGTCACCCTGGACTAAACAGGTTAGGTACCTAACTCTCATTGAAATTAATGGGAGTTAGGTTCCTTACCTGCTTCTGCGCTTTTTGAAAATCCCAAGAGGTTAGGCACTGAAGTGCATAATTTCCTTTGTAAATCTTGTCCCATGTCCTTTAAGTTCTTAGAATTAGTAGATCTGATCCTCTCCCACCTGATTTTGATTTATAAATTGTAAGAGGAAATCAAGCTTTCTTGCTTTTTCAGCTCCCAGTTGGTTTCTTAACTTCGAACTAGCACAGGTGAGGAAAATATTCTGTCTACCCTGCTTAGCTAAATTGAAACCACAAGTAATTATGGTAAAAGCTGTTCTGCACAAAAGAAAATGTAAAGTACTTACGTTTGTAAAAATGTAAATGCCAGCGTTTGCTCCTTTTGTAAAGAGTGATGATAATATACTCAATGCAATAAGTGGTATTTATAAAGCTTGAGTTAACCTCAAAAGTTAAACGCTATTTCGCCCCCAATTCTGTATATAATTTAAAAAGCAGCACCCTTTAACTCATTAAAATTTGAGGGCTCATTAATTCAGCATTTTTTATATAATATGTGAAACGGATAGATTCTAGTAAGTTTAGGCCTTACTATAGATTTAAACAAGTTTATTTTTAAAAGAAAAATACAAAAATCTGATGTTTAAAAAATGGATTAATATTTACTTTTATCTGTCCTGGCACAATAAGACTGGAGAACTTGGCCCCATATCTTAATTCTTTACCTGTGTTACTGAACACCTGGTTCCTCTTAACTTGGGCAGTGAAACTGTACTAATATTTCACTTCTGTTTATAATCAATTTAGTCAGTTTAACTCTGGTCTCTTACCGGCGGCCATATTAAAGGATACCATCCACTTAAAAACTGGTCTTTCTGAATATTTTATCTGCTAGTTACTTGTAACAGCTCAGATTAATAACAAATTTTTAACCTTTTTCAGTTTTTGTTCACTTTCCAGGACTTACAGCATAATAATTTTTCTCCTGAATAGTGTGTTTTCTCCTGTGGTGTTGGTGGGTGATGTGGCATGGGGTTTTTTTTGTTTGTTTTGTTTTTTGTTTCTGGTGCCTTTCATATAGCAATGGGGCAGGAAATAGTCTTAGTGTGTTTTTGTAAACTCACAAATTAGCAAAAGGCCTGAGATATTAAATAACTCATTAAAAAATACAAAAATCAACCAGCTTGAACTCTGGTTGCTGCCCCATCACCAATACTGACTGTTGACTGACTGGTGTACTTTACAAGATTCTAACCATCCCATAGCCGACAGAATTATTATATGTTTTCAACTAAGTGCTACAGTTGAATGCCTTTACAAGTGTTCAATATCTATTTTTTCCCCTCCTTCTAGCTGGGAACTTCTGGGGTAGAACAATGTCTGCCATCTCTAGCTCTACAGATCCAACTAGTTATGATGGGTTTGGACCATTTATGCCAGGTTTTGAAGTAATTCCGTACAATGACCTTCCAGCTCTTGAGGTATTTCACAATATCTTCCTCTAAAATATCATTCTTAATCTCTCCTTGTAGGTATAGTAAATACTGATGCAAAGAAAGTGAACATGGTTTACCCTCGGAACAAATGTTTGACTACAAAATACAACTTTTTGTACCTGTTTAGTTTTTTTGCAGTTTTCATTTTAGAACCCAAAGGAAGAATTATACTACCTGCAGTGGATTGCACAATAGTAAAGTGCTCAGGACATGAGTGAAGAATACCATATATATCTTGAACAGCAGGAGGAATTTGGATAGGCAAAATAAATACAAAAACTAAAACTTTGATATTAGTCCCAATACCCTGACCTACTTTTCTGACAAACGGCTTTTCAATGGCCAAATGGTTAGGCCTGACACTTGAATTTAAGTCACTTCCAGTAGCACGATGTCCCCTAAAACTATGCTGGGGTGGTGTTTTACTTACCTAACTGAAGTGCCAGCACCACTTCCTGCAACATCCTGGATTTTCTTGGGAGGTTTCCCATCAAGCTACTGGCCAGGCTTGTTGTTAGCCCAAATAAATAAGTGCATCTTCGTGCTAATAGGATGCTGGATTAGTAGCCTTGGAGACTGAAGGCTTCCACTCAGCCATAACACAAGTAAAGCTCAGTGGGAGTGCAAGCTCTACCATCTGCCGTTCTCTCATACTTTAGCCATGATCTGGAGGTGAGAGGTTATAGGGGTGAGAGGTTAGTTCAGTCTCTGTGCCAACAAGGATGCCAGTGGTTTGGAGAGGAGATGGAGACTGATGTGGTAGAGATGTTTGTTTCTTAAGAACTCGACTGAGACTACACACTTAATTCTTACAGAAACAAAGGTTTTTCAGTATTTTTAGTTGCTTTGAGGATAAGATTATTAAAAATTGGATCAGACTATCAACCTTCATGGTGGAAGCTCTGTATTTATCTGGTTTCAGTCAACTTCATTTAGGTTCTGGAGGTGCTTTGAGATGTGGTCTGTAACTTAGACCCATACTTATTCTGTCTGATAATAAACATACATTGGTTGTGTTGTTAATGGGAGGCTCTGACTATCTCTTTCTGGGTGGCCGAGGTGCCAGCATCTCATACTGGCAATTTTTGGGTCTTTGCTTAAGAAAACTTCTAATGCTGACAAATCTTGCCAGTTCTAACCTTGTCTCTACCCTTATGGGGGAAAGTTTATTGAGAAAGCTGTAGCAAAACCCCTCTATGAATGCTTAGTCTCTGAATTTTCTCGAACTTTTAAGGCTTGAATGTGTGGACATGTCTGCAGACCCTGCTAGGGAATGATTAAGCTGCACTTGAATGGCTACATTCTTGTGAGGAGATCCAGGAGCTACTATTGTTCAATTGCTTTTCTCTCTCAAGAGTTCTCACAAGAGGTTACCAAGTTAATACATTTAACTGATTTGATAAGCCCCTTGTCTGGGTGCCCAACCTCTTTTAAGGTTTCTAATCTCTTATGCATGCAAACAGACTAATTTTTCGAGGTACATGGTGATTGAAATCTAGCCTTTACTCCTTCATGCCAATAAATGTTAAAATACATAATTAATGCTTATCTAAGGTAAAAATTTGGGGTTAGATTTAGGTTCTGTTACAGGGATTCATCTATTTCCATGATTAAACTTTAGTAAATGGATTTTTTTCCTCCTTCCAATCCACATGTCCTTCATAGCGTGCACTTCAGGATCCAAATGTAGCAGCTTTCATGGTTGAACCAATTCAAGGTGAAGCAGGTGTGGTTGTCCCTGATGAAGGTTATCTAACAGGAGTGCGAGAGCTCTGCACAAAACACAATGTAAGTAATTCATTTTAGCTAAATAATTTAAAATACATCCTGTCAAAGTTGAGTAATTACCAGAATCTTGGCCTGTGAGGCCCTTGCAAATAATTGATGCATTTAAGTCAAAATGCAGTGTTGAGGCCTTGGTGTATTGTTAAACCATTTGTTTTCTTCCAGTATAAATGAGACTAACTACAGTGCATTTTTCAGATCCATCATGACAAGCCATTACAGTATTTTGGAGCAGCAGTAGTTAATACTTAGTTCTTTTGTTTCTCAGTAGTGTGTTATCTAATTATTAACTTCTTAAATTTCACAATGATGGGAATCAAATTTACGGGCTAGATCTAACATGATGTGTCTGGGTGAAATCAAGTGTGTCATGATATTAACAGTAGTCAAGATGAAATGGAAGTGTAAAGCATTTGAGTTTGTCCTTTTTTAAATTAATTCTGTGCCTAGAGAAATTAGCTGCTGTTGAGGAATAATGCTAGCTAGCCAAAAGCTGTGTTCAGTCTCTTGGTGCTAGAGGCATACCTTCTATTTCTCCATGCAATGGACAGGTTTCAAATAATGCAACTGGCAAAGTTCACTGGCACTAGGGAAGCTACTCATGACTGCATCCAACCCCAGATCTGCATTCCATATAAACACAGTGGGCCAGGCTAATCGCTGGTGTCACTCTCTCAAATTAGTGGAATTGTCTGTTTATCTCCTCAGTTAATTGAGTCAGTGAGACAACTGCTGCCATTGCAGATCCTGCCATCCAGATAAGATCATTTGGGATCAGGACGCACATGGAATTAGCTCCTAAGAGAGTGGTCAAAAAATTAATGTGTAGCTAGTACGACTTTAGGTCCCTATAAAGCACTTAATTAACATTAATATCCCACATGCCTCTGTTAGTGTCTTCCGCCTGACAGTGATTATCTTATGTTCTCCCTATTCAGCTATTTTGTACGAAAATCCAAACAGTGCATCCTCTTCATAGTGGAGTATCTGCTCCATAATCCCTCTCTTTTTAAAGTAAGGACAAATATAATACCAGCAATTAGACTTTCCTGCATAATACACAATTATCTCTTTCTCCAGACATAGTCAATGCTTCTCTCTCCTTAGGCTGTCATCTTCTTCCTCCTCCTCCATGGGCGTTATCCATGTGGCAACGTGACTATAGGTTGCATCTTAGGATAAAGTAATTTAAGATTGTAGTGTTTATAATCTATTTTACTACAAGACCAATAGACTTACTACCTAGGGCTTTCAAAAGTGCTCGGCATTAGCCTGCTTCTGCAGTCACTGAATTGACTTGAGTGAGAGTGGAGTTAGACCAATGATGAGGGCTTTGGAAAATCTGACCCCTTGTTAAACTGCTATAACACCTGAAGTTCTATATAAAATAATGTGGAATGTGCTAAATGTAGAATAGAATTCTTGTCTGCCCCAAAGAAGTCTTAATGTAAAAATTACCGTATAGTAAGTCGAGCAGTCATTACAGTCAGTGTGTCATGGAAACAATGGGTTTTCAGGAGTTTTGCGGAGGAAAAAGAAGAGTGCTTGGTGTAGGTTAGTTGGCAGGTATTTCAGGTACTAGAGGTGACTTTGCTATGTTGTATGTTAACTTTCTGAAAGATCAGTATGTCTAAATCTTAATTCGATATCTGAGTAAACTGTCATTCATTGTTGAATTTTTTTAAAGGTTCTGTTTATTGCTGATGAAATACAGACTGGCTTAGCTAGAACTGGAAAAATGCTGGCTGTTGACCATGAAAATGTGAGACCTGACCTGGTGCTCCTTGGAAAGGCCCTTTCTGGTGGCGTATATCCTGTAAGTAGCAAGACACTGTTTTAGTTTAAACTAACTGCTCATATTGGAGAAACTATATTGTCACAAATTAAATGTAAAATTGATCTGATGTGTGGCATTCTTGGGGAAGGTGATGTATGTACATATAGGAATAACTGCTTCCAGAATTATGAGGTACTCTGAACCAGATACCCTAACTTGCTAGAAATACAGGTGAAATTCATGAAATACGCAATTTGTTAGTTGCTTGTCCAACTGTTAGTATAGTAAGCACTATATATTAATGATTGGACTAATAGTATGCCTGCCAAAAGAGCAGGACATTTGTTATCATCTTCCAAGCCAACCACTGAGACTTGTTCTTTGGAGGATTGACTTCCAAATTAGTATAAACGGTATGAACTATCCTAGTTCTTATGATGGTGATTTAAGGTATTGTGGTTCTGACATTCAAAGTACTGCAGTATGTCACTTGTGTCTCGTTGAATGTTATCCTAACAAGCGAGAACAACTGTAAGTATCAAATGTTAAGGGCAGGGTTCCTCTCTGTGTCAGAGTACCAATCATTCTATGCTCCGATTCTCATAGAGCTGTTTCGTTGCTGTTTCTGTGCTGAGCTGGATGAACTTTGAAAGCTGAAGAAAATTCTCACGCACACATTAAAATGGCTTCTGTTAAAGAATTGTTTCTGAGTGAGCATTAGTCTTCATCTTGTTTCAGTTGTCTAGAATGCCCATGTGAACTCGCTTAAATGGCTCTAACATAATGAAATTCCTGCTGAGTAGGAAAGCAACAACCAGTAATTAAGCATTACTGCTGACTGGAGCGCTATCTGAGCTGTTAATCAGAATACTAAATATTAAAATCCCCCCAAAATGCTAAACAATGCAAAATGCTTCTCATATCTACTAAGACATTATACAGTACCTGTGTAGTTAAGTGGTTTATATTTAGGCTTGGCAGAATTTTTCTTTTTTTTTTTTTAATAATTTCAATGTTTATTTTTAAGCTTTTCAGTTTTTTTTATCTTTTTATTTTTAAATTTTCACAGTTGCAGGGAATTATGGGAGGATCAGACAATGGGGGAATTAGACAATTATTTAATGACAGTAGACATTGATTCATAACGTTAAAGCTTTATAACTATTAAAACACAAATTACCAACATTATGTCAAAATATACAAAGTAAATATCCTTAAATTAAACTCTGAGTTCTCAAGCTGAGTTCTTCTTTCTTTGCCTATCTGTATATTTCTGTTATCACTGAAAATACTGTTTCATCAGTTTGTGTATGCATGGTGAAATCAATGTTTACTGACATTTACTGATATAAATCTAATCCTTCCAAACTTAGTTATATTGTGCCATATGACTGCTAGACAGCCTTTCCTTCTATATAGATCTGTGGATGTGGAATCTATGCAGGAATGTGGATGTTTGTAACAAACTATGCAGACTGAAAACTACCAATTTCTAGGTACTGAAGGAAGTCTGGTCTAAGCGTTAAATTATTTTGATCATTACATATATGCAAGTGAATTGGTGGACATTCCCAATTTTTAGGTATCAGCAGTACTGTGTGATGATGAAATTATGCTGACCATTAAGCCAGGTGAACATGGATCTACATATGGAGGAAATCCATTAGCCTGCCGTGTGGCTATGGCAGCACTTGAGGTATGTAGGTTCTAGCTAAGATTTTGACATTCCAGGGACAATATTACATTTGATATGGTTGCTTTTTGTTTAAATGATACACTTTAGCAAAAGTTGATGTGTATAAACAATGGAGAATAATGACTTCAAAATTTTACTAAATAAATGGCATTTCTAGTGGTGCTGTCCATTTGAATTTTATGTTTAGCTAGGAGTGGAAAACTGATGGTAGCTACTATAATTTGTATATATTGACTGTTACAAAACACATTCTAAAATAACTGTTAGAAATGTATCCTCTACTTTCTATTAATTTTACTGTTTTAAAATTCTTAAATATTCCAGTATAAAAAAGTTGGGGATGATAATACTTTACATATCAGCTTTGTCTAGTGGAAGACCAAATATTTCAATGGCATTATAGGGAGTTAATAAAATAACATTCTCCTATGCCATTTTTAATAAAAAAAGCTTTTAAATGTTGTCATTTTATTATAGTGTGTAGAAGGATGTTAGTCTGTTATAGTTCGTTTACTCAAATGTCTGTGGTGTCAGAGTTCAAAACAGATGTTGTTACAATATCATGTCAAGGAATCCATGCTTTAATAATCATTTAATGTAAGTTTCCCAGTAAATCATGAAGCTTTTTTTTTAAAGTATTGTCCAATATATAGATTCAGGCAAATTCACGGATTAATAGATTGTGTCTTCGAAAAGTGTCCACCTGCTTGTGTGTGGTTTTAAAAAAAAAAAAAGTGAAAGTAACAAGCAAAAGAAGGCAGATTTTAGATTAAAAATTCAGAGCAATTCAGAGCTTGTCAGCATGAAGTATTAAGGACCCCTAATGTACAAGTAATCAGCTTGGATGGTCAGCCTCCACCATGATTTCTCTAGCAGATATGGTTTTTTGTACCCCAACATTAAGTGCTGTACTGGGTAATATATTTCATGTTTGTACATACCAGTATGGTGTATTCCACCTTAGCAGAGAAACTGAAACAACCAAAAAGCCCTTCAGTTATCTTCAGCTTCAACTTCTTTTTAGGTGATTGAAGAAGAAAGCTTAAGTGAAAATGCAGAAGCAATGGGCAACCTATTAAGAAGTGAGCTCATGAAGACTCCATCAGACATTGTGACCAATGTAAGAGGAAAAGGATTACTAAATGCTATTGTTATCCGTGAAACTAAAGGTAAGAAAACTCTCAACCAGTTGCAAAGCTAACGTGAGTGACAGGTTTTTAACTTGACTTGCAGATATTGCGTGAAATGGAGGATGAGTTAATTACGGCACCTTGGGTTTCAAATCATGGCTAACCCATCTTACTCTCCAGTGGCAGTGTGTCCACACAACTTCATGTTCCTGATAAGAGATACTTTTCCTTTCTAGTGTGTGTAATTTCAAGCAGAAAAAGCTGGTTAGTTTATGTTACATCAACCATTGTAAATTCCCACAGATATGACAAATGCTAAACTATCAAACCAATGCTGGCAACAGACATCACACATCTTTATCACTGTCAATAAACACCCTTCCAGCTAATTGCCCAAACAAAGCCGGATGGAACAGATAGCGATGTCTTTTGCACTGTGCCCTGAAAGTCCATCCCAGCCACACAGAGAGGGAATAGCTTCTAGAGTTGAAGGCACACTATTAGCATGCATTGCTGCTGTACTCCCAGGTTGTCAGTCCTGGAATAAACAGGTAAAGTGTCACAAATGAGTACAATGAGGTATTGGGAGAGGAAGAGATGACCCCTGAGAACATCAGTTTCCAGGGACTAACTCCTTGAGTTGCACCTGAAAGTGCAGAATACAGAGTAGTGCTGTCATATACTCTTTCATTTTTTCTGCTGGTTCTGGTCCTGTTTCTTTCTGTGGTAAAGTGCTGCAGGGAAATGCTGCAGTTACCTTGGTAGTTTTAAGACATTATGCACTGATTTAGGTATATCATGTGCACCTTATTTGTAACCTCTGTTCAGTCGTCCTCCTGTCTCTTTCTCCACTTTGTTTATATTTAGATTTTAGCATCTGGGCTCCTAAAAATTACAGTGATTAGGAAGGAGGGAATGGCCTAGATTGATAGTAATCTCATCAGAGCAAGGGATATGTGTTTTGTGGAGGACAGAACTTTTGGATGCGCCATCCCTGTCTGTCGTATATCTAGCTACTGTAGTCCAGAATAAATTGTATCTGATTTCTGTGTCAAGTTCTCAGCAGCAGAATAGCAGAAAACCTGTGCTGGAGACAAAATATGGATATGCCACTGTCCCATATGTGCATTGCTAACATTTACCTGGGAAGTAGCTCATAAATGGAGTGGCCACCTAAGATAAAGAACACTGCATATGTAATCTAATTACTGCCAGACAGCAAAGATGCTGCAATCTGGTACCACAGACTACAGATTAACATGGTGACACTTAATATTCTGTAGCATAATTATTATGATTTTTTTTTTTTTTTGGCTTTAGACTATGATGCCTGGAAAGTGTGTCTGCGGCTTCGTGATAATGGACTTCTCGCCAAACCCACGCATGGTGACATCATCAGGCTGGCACCCCCGCTTGTGATCAAGGAGGATGAAATCAGAGAGTGCATTGAAATCATTCATAAAACCATTCTGTCTTTCTGAAGACATGTTGTTTCAGCACATCATCTTGGGTCAACTAGCAGATGCAGTTGAAAGATGTGCGATAAAGATCCCACTCTCAAAGCAAACATCCACTCCTGTATATCTTAAAGGACTTATACTTCTAAAACTTAGTTATGTTTAGGTATTTAAATTATAATGGATTGGAAGAAGGTAAATCATGACTCTGAAGTTTCCTATCTCTTGTGACTATTTGCAAATGAAGAAGTGAAGCTATATTCAACCAATTATGTACTGTATGCTTTAAGTTAAACGTCTTGACAGGAGCTTGTATGTAGACATCTGTTAAATTGCTGAAGGTCTCAGCCAAAGTTGAATGTGTAATTTACACATATTTTAATAATAAACATTACCCTTTCGTATAACTGCACAAAGGTTTGTATTTGGCATTTTATCTCACTTGGTGCTGTACATGTAGGGCTGAATCTCTTGCTGTGGACACTACTGGTTGTCACGCCAAGAAATCCTGGCTCCCATCCTCAAAGCATCAAGAACGGCACACTTTTTTTGTTCTTCTTTTGCAATTTAAAAAGGCATCTAACTGTAAAGGTTTGATAAACTGGATGTTCTACTGGTAAATGTGTCACGGACCAGCTTATACTCTGTATGTAAAATCTCTTGAATGTATGACAATAATAGTAATTGTTTTCAAGAACGTGATCTCAGTGTTCTGTTTTACAGATTGTGAAACTAATCAGTGTACAGATCTTGGTTTGCCATTCTAAAACTGTTATCCTTCTATAATTTGATGTTTATTTACATTACAATAAATACATCTTGTATTAAGAAATGTCCATGTTCAATTAAAACTGTCAATGCAATAAAAAAGGATTAGCCTAACTTGAACCTTACAAGAGTTTTTCTTAGTAGCTATGGCCAAGTGGCTCCTTCATATTAATGAACATCCCATCTGTTTGCAGCCACCTTAACACTGGAGGTTTCTGCTTTACTTCCCTTCAGGACTAGTGCTTTTAACCCTTCCTGCCTTTTGGAAGTTGCTGGGTATAGTACTAAACAGGCACATGTAATGGTCACTGCTAATCTTTCACTAGGATACTCCAAGTGCTTGTTCATGTCAGTTCCAATCAGGTGTGCGCGAGCTACGTGCACGACAGCCGGAAGATTTTTTCCCCTAGCAATATCCGTAGGGTCGGCCTCGGTGACCCGTGGAGTTGCGCCTTCATGGCACTCAATATAGGGCCCTGATGACCCAACCCCCCCTCAGTGCATTCTTACTGCCGGTGATGGCTAGCTGGAACTTCCCTCGCTCTTGCTTTTGCAAGTGCCTTTAGCAGTGTCCCCCTATCAGTTGTATACAGTTAGATTATTAGTTAGTAGTATTAGTAGTTTCTCTAAGTTTCTGTTGGGGGGTTCCCCCCTCTCCGTTTTGTTCTCCAACACCAGGGCATGCCTCAGTCGCCAGGGTTCAAATCGTGTGATGTCTGTGGGAAATTGATGCCGAAGAGTGACCCGCACACTTCGTTTGAAGTGCCTCAGCGAGAGTCACCAAAAAGACAAATACCGCATTTGCAAGGAGTTTCGGCTGAGAACCCTTAAGGATCACAAGTAGAGACGCAGAATTCTCCTCATGGAGGCAGCCCTCCATCCGCAGTCCGACCCCAGGTTGGCGGAGCCTGTACCAAGCGCTGCCTCTTCCGCGCGCAGTGCACCGGCACCAAGAAAGGAGGCTAAGGACTCCCGGCACCGACATGGCGATGAACATAAGACTTCTGGCAGACAGGCGTCATTCATCCCTGACACTCGCCTCTATGCCACTCATACTGGATTACCTTCTCCATCTCAAGCAGGAGAGGCTATTCATGTTGTCAATAAGGGTTCACTTGGCCACCATCTCTGCCTTCCATCCAGGTGCAGAGGGCCAGTCAGTCTTCACCAACCCTATGGTCAGACGTTTTTTCAAAGGTTTTGACAGGCTATACCCACAAGTCAGACAAACAGTCCCAGCTTGGGACTTCAACCTGGTCCTTTCCAGACTGATGGGGCCGCCTTTTGAACCACTGGAGACATGCTCCCTGCTCTACCTCTCGTACAAGGTGGCGTTTCTGGTGGCAATAACTTCAGCCAGGAGGGTGTTTGAGCTCAAGGTCCTAACATCAAGCCTCCTTACACTGTGTTCTATAAAGGACAAGGTTCAGCTCAGGCCTTACCCGGCTTTCCTCCTAAAGATTGTCTCCCAATTTCACATCAACCAGGGCACCTTCCTCCCAGTGTTCTATCCTAAGCTGCACTCGAGCGGTAGGGAGCAGAGGCTTTACTTGCTGGATGTCCGCAGAGTGTTAGCCTTCTACATGAGAGAACAAAGCCATTCCAAAAGTCCATCCAACTATTTGTGGCTGTGGCAGACAGAATGAAAGGTCTTCCAGTCTCCTCTCAACGGGTTTTGTCATGGATCACGCCCTGCATCTGAGAGTGCTACAACCTGGCAGGGTACCTGCCCCTCCAATCACTGTGCACTCCATGAGGGTGCAGGCCTCTTCAACAGTGTTCCTGGCGCAGGTTCTTACCCAGTAAATATGCAGAGCAGCGACGTGGTCGTCCATACACACTTTCACCACACATTATGCAATCACCCAGCAGGTCAGAGACGACTCGGCCTTTGGTAGAGCGGTACTCCAATCAGTGGACAACTCCGACCCTGCATACAGAACTTAGGCTTGTGAGTTACCTGATTGGAATTGACATGAACAAGCACTCGAAGAAGAAAAAACAGTTACTGCCTTCTCGTAACTGTTGTTCTTCGAGATGTGTTGTTCATGTCCATTCCAATACCCTCCCTCCTACTCCTCTGTCAGAGTACCCGGCAAGAAGGAACTGAGGGGGGGTAGGGTCAGCAGGGCCCTATATTTGGTGCCATAAAGACACGACTCCAGAGGTGTCCTGGCCGACCCTACGGATACTGCTGGGGGAAAAATCTTCTGGCTGTCGTGCACACGGCGTGCGCACACCTGATTGGAATGCACATGAACAACGCATCTCAAAGAACAACAGTTACGAGAAGGCAGTAACTGTTTTTTCTTGGACCATGTAATGCAGTTCCAGCTGAGGTAGGCCAGTGGTTAATCAATGCCATGCATCTCACTCTTTTAAAAAAAATTCCTTTCTCAGTTTGCCCAGTGCAGACTTCCTACTAACTGTAGTCAAAAGTTTATGAACCAAGATTACTAAATAGTAGCAGAGCGTATAAAAATGGTTCACACGGATCTTGCAAAGGCAACATTAAGTTGGTGAAAACAACGAGGAGTCCTTATGGCACCTTAGAGACTAACAAATTTATTTGGGCATAAGCTTTCGTGGGCTAAAACCCACTTCATCAGATGCAAGTTGGTGGTTATTTATGAAAGTGAGCAGGACTAGAGAACTTTATGCTGGCTCACAATGTACATTATTTAGGATAAAGGAATGGGATAAATATCAGCTGTGGATGAGTGAGAATGAGGGTGAAGCCTTCCTTATAAGGTGAATGTGTATTTGAGAGAGAGAGAGACATAATGGTGATTGTTGGGTTTGGAGATAAGGGACAAAATGCTGGAAGGTGTGGCTTGATGTCAATTGCACTTAGAGAGGTGCAAGATTGCCAGATAATATAAACAGGGCTAATGGTGTAACAGAAAGAAAGCGGTATATAATCCATGACTGACTAAGTCCCTTCAAAAAGTAAGTCATGGAGCCTTGTAGCATCATAGAGTGTAGGTGGAAGCAGGACCTCAGGTTCCTATAAATCTTCTAATGTTTTATAGTGATTTGTGTGTTTGTTGGTGTCAGATGTTATTTTTATTAAAATTAAGCCTTTTTATCTCCAGTCTGATCCTAGAGCCTAGCACAGAAGTTTGCCTTCTCCATGCATCATATTCACTTAGTTAGTAATGATAGCAGGTCTGAGAGCCTTAAACAAAAGGCGGTATGTGTTCTATTTGTTACTAAGCTAGTGCTATAAACATAGTTGACAGGACATCCATACAACTTTGGGAACAAGGAAAGCAAACTAACCCCATCTCAGTTCCTTTATTTAAAAGGGTGGAGCTGGTCAAGATGTTGGAGAGAGGATACATTCTATTCATCATCAATAAAAGACTGGGGAGGGAGCTCCAGCAAGATAGTAGCAACAGCTGGGATGACACTAGGAAATACCAAAATTCCTTCTCTCCCCACTCCCCTACTGTTTAAAGGGGTAATGTCATAATACACTTAGATTACCACCTACTGTGTGTGTGTGTGTGCGTGCGCATGTGCACGTGCATTGAGTCTGATTTTTCCCTTGGTAAAATTGTTCTCTCTCTGCTTCTCTTGTTCCTCCTTTAATAGGCATAGCTGTAGTCTCTCCAGTTTATGGATATAAATAAATAATAATGGATATTCTTGTTTTTAAAAAACAAAACAAAAAGCAAGCCAAACAAAAACCCCTCCTGTTTCATTTTCCAGAACTTTAGTTAGGTTTAGAAATTTTCTTCAAGGTTCTTCTTAAAAAGTAGAATATCAGGGTTTGAAGGGACCTCAGGAGATCATCTAGTCCAACCCCCTGCTCAAAGCAGGACAAATCCCCAAACAGTTTTTTGTTTTGTTTTTTAACCCTAGTTCCCTAAATGGCCCTCTCAAGGATTGAGCTCACAACGCTGGCTTTAGCAGGTCACTGCTCAAACCACTGAGCTATCGCTCCCCCCACGTAGTGGACAACTAACCTCTTTCTTTACCTCTTCCTTCCATAAATTCAATGTCTGAGCATTTATGCTCCCTTGACATATTCCTGAAGCATACTAAGCCTATGCCATAGGCCACTCTGCCGCACAATATCTTGAACGTGTTAGAAGTGTCTATGGTGGAACAAACCCTCTTATTTGTATTTCAACAGCAAAGTTACTGGCTTTGATTTTTACTTCAGTTGAAGAGAAAAACATGTCCTCAGTTGCTTTCTTTCTCCACTTCATTTTGCAGTAGCTACTGCTTTATTCCCTGTCTCTTTCAATTTTCAGTCAGCAGATGGAGCCAAAAGCTCAGCTTTGTGCTGAGAGCTAAGTCATGGGTGTAGAATTAGTGGAACTTGTTCCTGTTTCATGCTTGCTACGCCATGGCATCTCTGTGTGCTATGCAGGCAGTGTGACTTAGTGTATGGTGAGGTAGTGAAGCTTTGTATGGATGGGGCTATGAAAAGGAGACTAATTTAGCTACATTCAGATTATCACTGTTTTACAAATTAGGTCATTTAAAAAGTATACTCTAAAAAGTGCAAAGAAAATTACTTGTAAGAGCTCTCAAAGTAAACTCAAAAGGGCATTCTTATTGCATCCTAACTTTATAGGTATGGGAGATTTTTTAAAAAAACCCATAAAATCAATCAATCAAGATGGAATTATTCACCAGAGTGTTCTTCCCCCCATAAAGGATTCCCATCCCTTATTACTAAAAAATACCATGTGATTCATACCTGTCAACATGTGAAGGCTATAACTAGGGAAATCTTGGAAGAAAAGTAGGGCTACTGTAACACCAACCAAGACCCTGGTTGTCGGCGGGTGGGATCAAATCTGGGATCTCTGGAGCTTAGTGTATGAGCTAAAAGTAGGGTGACCAGTTGTCCCCATTTTATAGGGACAGTCCCGATATTTGGGGCATTTTCTTCTATAGGCGCTTATTACCCCCCACCCCCTGTCCTGATTTTTCACACTTGTTTGGTCACCCTAGCTAAAAGCCATATGGTGCTTAGCTAAGGCTGTGGAGCAGACTCATTAATCTCTCTTTAGGTGGTCTCAGTGCCACTAGGTGGGATAGAACACCACACCCAGGAGGTGTGTGGGTTACACTGCACCTTTTAATAACCTGGAAATACAGGG